AGCCTCTGTGCTGACTTCCGACCTCAGATCACGCTGAGGTGGGAGCGTGATGCAGAGGGGCGCACTATTTTTCCTCCAACCTTCGAGGCTGAGTTGGTGGCAGTGGGGGGAGAAGAAGAAGAAGAAGAAGAACAAGGCACTGGAGTTGAGGAACAGGCAGCAATGGCCGAGGTGCAGCCTCCTGAGGTGCATCCAGTCTCCTCTGACGAGGTGCAGTAGCTGGCCCCTCCTGAAGTAGAAGTGCCGCCTCAGCCTGCTGAAGACGAACCCAGGTCCCCACCTCTTCCTACTGAGGAGCAGCCTCCTCCTCCAGCAGAGTAGTTTAGGATTTTCTTTGCGTTATTAATGTAAATAACATTGTTTAATGTATAAAATTTTTGAATTTTATTATTATCTGGTGTTCGATTTTTAATTTGATGTTTTTCGTTGAGGAACTTTTAGGGTAAAATAAGTTAACTGGAATTAACACAGGGTTCTGACCTCGGATAATCAGTATAGTAATTGACTTTGGATATCCATAAGGTATACCTCGAAGACGAAGTAAAGCACTTCAAAAATAAAGTGTAACTGATTAAAAATGTAACTGATTAATAGGATTATAACCCTAAAAATGAAGTGGCTGAATGAGTCAGAATAAATGAAACTCACTTCCAACGTATAGAAGAGTACACAAAACTGAATTACTTCGGACATGAAGTGAAACTTATTAATGAATTGAGTTAAAATACACTCTAAATTGAGCAGAAGGAGTGAAAGTAAGAATGATCAAAACAAAGTTCACTCGAATGAAGTGTACTTAAGGGTAAAACTTCTTCAGGTTACTGATATTCCAGACTTTGGGAACCCGTTTGCCTTCAGTGTCCCGTAGGATATAAGCACCTGGGTGCGGCACTTCGGCAACAGTGTAGGGGCCTTCCCAGTTTGGTGCTAATTTGCCGAATCGAGTTTCGAACCCCGTTAGACCAGCTTTCCTGAGAACAAGGTCTCCTACTTTGAATGATCGGGGTCGAACTCGTTTATTGTAAAAGTTTGCTATCTTCTGCTCGTAGACTAGAGTTCGAAGTCATGCTTCTTCTCTGAGGTCATCAAGCAGATCAAGGTTCTCCCGAAGCAGTTGTCCATTCCGTCCTTCATCGAAATGGGTGACTCTGAAGCTTGGAACTCCTATCTCGATAGGAATGACTGCTTCGGTACCAAAGGCCAGATGATATGGTGTTTCACCTATCTCGGTGGATTATAACTTTAGAATGCGCTTTACACGTTATGCATATTTGCTCTACGGTAAAATCGTAGCAGAAGAAGTAGAGTAATATAAATTTAATCAAATAGGCCAGGTGTAGAATAATACCTGTGGCAGTTCGACTCGTAGTTCTGTATGCCCAGAGGACGTTGTTGAGCTCGTTTGCCCACTTGGCCTTGTGTTGTTCCAGCCTCGGCTTTATACCTTCCAGGATGCACTTGTTAACAGATTCGACCATACCGTTGGACTCTAGATGGTAAACCGAGGTGAACTGCAGTTTAATCCCGTAGCTGGAACAGAAATCTCGAAAAGAGGTGCAGTTAAATTGAGTTCCATTATCAGCCACAATCTAATTCGGGATCCCATATCTGCAGATGATTGAGCTGAAAACAAAGTCTTTAACCTTCTTGGAAGTAAGACTGGATAACGGCCGAGCTTCAACCCACTTTATGAAATAATCTACACCAACAATCAGGTGGGTTACACCACCAACGCCTTTCATGAATGGTCCCAAAAGATCCAATCCCCACTGAGCAAATGGCCATGGTGCTACCAGAGTAGTGAGCTGTTCTGCAGGCTGGTGAGTCAAGTGCGCAAAGAACTAGCATTTTAAGCATCTCTGAACAAAGTGGCATCCTTGTTCATGTTGGGCCAATAATAACCCTGTCTAAGGACTTTATAAGCCAAGGTTCGAGCATCCACGTGACTTCCGCAGACACCTTCACGCACCTCCCTGAGTGCATATTCTGCTTCATAGGGATTCAAGCACCGTAGAAGAGGTAGAGAGAAAGATCGCTTGTAGAGAACCCCATCAACAAGTGTATACCGAGATGCTTTCCTCCTCAACTTCATTGCCTCCTGCCTGTCCTCAGGTACTATCCCATCTCGTAAGAAGGAAAGGATTGGGTCAGTCCAGCTCGGTGTGCTTGGGTCGGTGCTGATCTCCATCACCCGTGGCTTCACGAAACTTGGTTCATCTAAAACCTCCACAAAAACTGATCTGGAATGTGAAGAACTATCAGAGGCGAATTTAGAGAGTGAATCTGCCTGTTCATTCTCAGTTCAGGGGATTTTGCTCAAACAGAATTTCTGGAATTTGCACTTCAGCTCGGCCACCAAAGCTACATATTTCACCATCACAGGATCAACAACTTCGCAAATTGAGTTAATTTGGTTCACCACCAGTTGGGAGTCACTGTATACTTGGATTGCACTGAGTTTTAATTCCAAGGCTAGCTGCAGACCCAGTAGCAGGGCTTCATACTCAGCCATGTTGTTTGTTGCATCGAAGTTAAATTTCAGAGCATGTTCACTTCGGTATCCATCTGGGCCAATCAAGAGAGCACCAGCTCCTGAACCTTTGCTACTAGATGCCCCATCAACATATAAG